TATGAAAAATGCTCAACATCATTTGTCATTGGGGAAAATGCAAAACACCAGATACCCACTAAAATGGCTAAAATACAAAAGAAAAAAAACAACTGACAGTACTAATTGCTTACAAGTACCTGGAGCCCCACAAACTCTTGTTCATTGCTCATGGGAATGCAAGTGGTACGACCTAGCAATTGTGCTCCTAGGTATTTACCCAACTTATTTGAAATCTTACACACACACACACACACACACACACACACACACACAAAGCATGCACACATTTATAGCAGTTTTATTCATAATCATCAAAAAGTGGAAGTAACGAAGATGTCCCACAACAGGTGAATGGCTAGACGAACTGGTAAAGTCGTATAAGGGAATAGTAGTTATCAAAAAAAAAAAACCCCATTAAGCCATATAAAGACATGGATGACTCTTAAGTGCACAGTGCCAAGTGAAAGAAGTCTGAGAAGGTGACATATATATGATTACACCACCCTCTTTTTTTTTGACATTCTGGAAAACGTCAAAAATAGTTCTGAAAAGGTAAAACTATGGAGATGGTAAACAGATCATCGGTTGCCAGAGGTCTGCGAAGGGGAGAGGGTTGAGCGGGCGAAGCACAGGGGGCCTTTTCACGGTGACGATGATACCATAATGTCGGGTACGTGACACTGCATTTGTGAAAACCCACAGAACTTCATAGCACCGAGAGAAAACATTAGCATATGCAAATTTCTAAAAAATTCAGTGTGTTCTTAAACTGGGATGCAGAACATAACAAAAGAATCTATATTATGAATATACAAAACGACCTCACTAAGTAAGGCGGGTGAGGGGGAAAAGTGCCGACCCAGGTAACTTTGGGAATGAGTGGAGCTGGTCCAACTGAAGACAGAAGGAACCGCATGTAAGCGCTGGACTCTGTCTGATAAAGCTGTTTCCCAAGGGGGCGGGTGACGATGCTGGGGCCATCATGACCCGTGAACGCTGGAACTGAATAATTAAGGAAATGGATGGCAGCGGGGACAGCCAGGTTTCTCACTGTCAGTGGGGAGTTACAGACAGGCTACGCGAGAGGCTAGCGTGATCCGTACAGTAATGGATTGGAGCTGGAGACGTCAGGATGGACTCATATGCAGTTTAATGTAGATACAGATGGTTACAAGTAGAAATATGTATAGATAACGTATATATACATGGGTTAGCGCGTGCGCGCGCGCGCACACACACACACACGCACACACACACGTACTTCCTTGCCCTACTGAGAGGGCCTAGAAATAGTGATACCCCACAGCAACGAGCACACCTAGCACCCAGGTCTTGGTGTCTAATACCATAATCTACTAAAAGGAATCAAGGCTCCTTGGAGAAATGGCTGGTTTAGGACTGGGGCAGGAAATACGCAAGGTGAGCCTGTGGCATCTGATAGTGCCAGAACGTGAGGAAGCGCCCAAACAAGCAAGCAAGCAAGCCGACACCGTGCTGGGGGTATGTCAGAGGGATGCAGGAGCCAAGTGAGAGCTCTCAGTGGCCAAAGCTGTAACAGTTTGAGCAAGAAAATAACATAGCATTGGATTATAACCCTAAGTATAAAATAAATAGATGAGTCCCTTCTGATATAAATAAATGATTGAATAAATAAACGGAGACAACAAGACAAACCTCCTATGCAGAAGAATTCCAGATAATTTATGTAGAAGTTTTGCTCTCAAGAAGGTAGAGCCCAAGTCTTCACTTCCTCCCATAGTGACTTCCTTGGAAAGTTTGAGGTGAAAGTATTATTTATGTAACCAATTCCTTATTGATAGCCATTTTCCCCCTAATCTTTTGCTTTATAAACAGTACTTCAGTGAACCCTTGTACTTATGTCCTTCTAAGTTTCTGTATATCCATAAAATATTCTAGAGAGAATAGAACTTTAATATCTTGAAAGATATGTTCAGGTTGTTCCTCAGAATAGTCTTATGGATTTATATTCCCCCAAATAGTATATTAGAGTATATGACTCACAAAAGGTTAATGCATTTTCTTTAATATACAAAGACCATTTACTAATCAACAGCAAGAGGACAGATATCCCAATAGAAAGATAGGCGAAGGACATGAGTAGATAATTTGCAAGGCAAGTAGTACAAATGACCTATAAAATTGGTAACAAAAACTTGAAAACAAAAGTGCAAAAAATGTTAATCGAGTAGTCAATGAAAGAAATGCAAACTAGAAACAGTGAGACATTATTTTGTCCATCAGGTTAGTAAAGAGAAAACAAGTTGTAATAACTGGTGTTTGCTCGTGTGTGGGAACATGGATCTGCTCAAACTTGTTGATAGATAAACAAATAGACCTTTTGAAGGCCAAGTTTTTTATATAACTTTCGAAAAAAGGTACACAGACTTTTATTCACTCTACCTTACAGGAATTTACCCTGAGACCTTAATTAAGAATGTATACAGGTATATATATGCTCACCACAGCATTGTTTATTACAACAAAATAATTAGAAATAACCTACCCAAAATAGAGGGTTACTTAATGATGATACATGCCTAAGATGAAATATGCGGCAGCTGCTAAAAATCGTGTTGTAGAAGAATATTCACTTAGAAAAATTCTTCTGATAATATGATTAACACATACCGGTTTAATGGAAAAAGACAAACATGTCTTATTTGTGGAAAAAAGACTAGAAGGACACATACCACAGTGTTTATCGTGGTGGTCTGTACGTGACAGCAAGGTTGCAAATGACTTGTCTTTTGCGCTTACCTCTGTTTCCTTTATTTTCTGTATTGAGCTTTTCTTAAATTTTATAGTTAGAAAAGAGACAAAAAAATGTTTAAAACGGCTGGTCCTACCTTCGCAAGATCGTTCTTCTTCGCCCCTTCTTTCCATCTGCTTCCATGTGGCCCTAGCTCAGGCCTCCCGTCTCTCACTTGGACATTGCACCAGTGTCCTCCTGTTGGGGTTCCCTACAAAAGGATCTCACCCGTTAGCCCTCCTCAGAAGCCTCTGGGACTGTCCCCGTGTACATAGGGTCTTAGGGCCTCTGGTAACCCTGTTGCCCCAGACCCCCCCCGCACTCTCCCTTTTCAGCGTCAGTCTCCCTCATCACCTCCACCCCACAGAGCCCCTGCAACACCAGCCCTATCGGCCTGGCCCGCTCAGCTCTCCTCGGCCCCGGAATATACAACCGCCCATCAGTCCTGTCTCTACCTGTTTAAAGTCTGCCTATCTCTCAAGGCCTGCCTCCTCCAGGAAGCCTTCCTATATCATCATCTTCCCCACACTCCAGGCCATGGTCACCAGCTGCCTTTTAATACAGTGATTTCTGGAGGATGCTGCCCCTCCCTTGGGTGACCTCCATGTCAGGCAAGGACTGATCAGATCTGGACGTGGACGTGTGGTGCCTGGAGCCTACACAGTAAGGGCTCCATGGAAGTCCGTTGAATTCAGCGGACCCAGCGTTGCCTCTGCACACCACGTGATGCAGATCACGGTCAACTCTGCCATGCTCCGTAATTATGCCTGAAATACGTGTGATTTTTTGGCAGGCAGGAATCTATTAAATTATACAGTACATATAAATGATCACATTGGAGATCGTGTGGCATAAAAATGCACATGCATTAAAATAGAAAGTTTATGGGCATATCACTTAGAGTCCAGAATATCTTTCTTCCATAACTGGCTAGTAAACAGTTGAGTCTGAACTTAATTTTAGGCAAGTCCTTGGAAAAAATGATTCTATGGAAACCCGGGCATGTCCTGGAGGAAACCACAGATAATTACACAGAGAAAACTTTTCTGTAATATTTCTGCTTAATATGAAAAGGAAAGTTTTGATTCTTGGTTACTCTTCCCTTGTTTTTTTTTTTTCATCGGAAAGTGACAGTATTTCAGGACAGAGAATACGTTTGGATGTGGCCGTAAACCTGCTTTGCTCGCTCGAGAATATCCTTAACTCCTTTTTGCTCTGTAAAATGGAGAGGCTTTCAGTGCCTCCGCTTCCGTTTAATCCCGCACGCCCGCCGCACTCCGCCCAGCTCCCCCGCCTCGCTCCGCGGCGCTGCCCTTGCTCTCTTGGGCGTCCGTGTTTCACACGCAGTGGTTGTGTTAGTGAAACACAAGCAGGCACGCTCACCGCTGCCCAGAGTTCCTTGGCACGAAGCCCCCGCTGTGTTTTCTGAGATGTCGTGCGAGTCAGCTCCGCACTGGTAGATGGCTTTCTTGTTCTCACGAAAGGACTGGGGTTCGGGGAGGTTGGTGAATGTGAAAGGCCGAGCGGGAACGATGTTCTGAACCAAACGTACCAGTAAATCCTTTTGGCATGTGCTGTGTCCAGAAACACATGCCCCTTAACTTGCATTGCTTTATGGAACTTTAAAAGATGCTTATGAGAAAGAAAAAAAAAAAAAGGTGCTACTAAATCATTTCAATGAGTATATGTGTGAGCCTGTCTTAGAAAATTAAATTTTTTACAATTTTGCGAATATTGGTAAATCCTTCTTGTTTTGGATCTGGCCGGGAACATGGATCCCATGGGTGGTACTGCCAGGAAGCATGTATCTCTGGCCACGTGTCCATCTGTTTGTCCGTTCATCCATCCATCCATCCATCCATCCATCCATCCATCCACGGCCTCCTCACACTTGGGAGCCTTCTGAGCAGGAATCCTGTCTGCTTCATGTCAGAATTCCTTGCAGTACCTTCAGAGAGACTCATGTTGTGGAGGCCCAGGCACTCCCCTGGGTGACGACGGAAGTACTTACTTCTCTGAGTGCCACGGCGTGTGTCGGAGAGGTGGTGCTGAGCATACGGGACCCGCCTGCGGGGTGGGGCGTCACAGAGGAACCCCTGACCCCACGCAGCCTTAGGCTTTGCTCTCCCAGTTTCCTAGCCTCTTAGACTACCCCAGGACAGTGGCGGGCGAGGGTGACGTGTGTGGCCCGGCATTTAACAACTTTTCTGGTGTGTGTGTGTCTGTGTATGTGTATTTAACTCTACAGGTCAGTTTTTGGGTTGTACGAGAAATTCTAACAGCACAGACTTTAAAAATAAGGGCAGAAATCCTGAGCCATTTTGTGAAAATAGCCAAGGTAAGCTGTTTCCCCTTCTCCCCATCCCCTTCCTTTCTTCCTTTTTCTCAAAAAATGTGTTTCCTCAGTAATTTGGGAGCAGCTTTGCTCTGGGCCCGGCAGGCAGTGGGGTGTGACCTGACTTCCCAGGCAGGGGCAGCTGTGCGACCAGCCTGGCTGCCCGCTCGGCCTCCCAGCCCCCCCGTACACACTGGCAGCGTGCCTCTCTGCCCCATGATTTTGGCAGCCAGCTCTTCCCTCTGGCCTTTGACACCCTCCATGCGGCCCCGGGGGCTGTCCCCAGGGCCTGTCCTGGGGCGCGCGCCTCCTGCTGCAGATTTAGCGGGGGTCGGGGCTTGCTGCGTTCCAGTTAGCATTGGCGTTTGTCATACTGTCACATCCTCACAACTGCGTCCCCAGTCAGCAGAGCTCATGCCCCCCGTCCGGAGCTCACTGCCTGGCCGGGTGACCTGGGTGACCCTGGTGACCTGGCTGCCTCCCACCACCTGCCCCCCTGGCCTGCGTCGGGTACCAGGCTCACATGTACATCCCGCCTCTCCCTTCCCCTTCCCCCATGTCTGCCAGCCCCGGCCATGACCGCGTGGGCCTTCCTGGACCCCTGTCATCACTTACACGGCCCTGCCAGCTCCTCCCGTGCAGTGCTCCCGCCCGCCAGGCTTGCCCCACTCAGCGCAGCGCTGTCTCTGTCTGGCCCGTTACTGGCTTTGTGTGCGCACGGTGTCTTGCCACCCAGATCCTAGGCCAGCTCACCTTTACTGAGGACCGTCACGAGCCAGGCGCCACGGCAGGTGCCTTACTGAAAGAATCGCTCACAGTATTGTTATCCCAGGAGGAAGGGGAGTGTCAAGGCCCAGCGCCCCACAGAGAGTCAGTGGGAGCATGTCTGTCTGCCCCAGGGGCGCTGTCTGCTGCCGCTCATGAGAAGGTTAAGTGCATCCATCTATAAGAATGTCAGGGGCAACGGACACTTCTATGGCCTGTGCATAGTACTTGGGACCAGCTGGGCTTAATTATACTTGTTGCTGTCAGCGAGTTCGTGCTGGGCCATGTGAGAAAGTGGGCTTAAGTTCCAGCCCACCTGGTGCTTTCAGTTTGGAAATGACTTCAGGGTCCTGACCCAGGGAACCTGAAACGGTCCCTCCTTAACTTCTGCCGTCTTCCAGCGGTGGATCATCACGCTGTAATGTGCCTTGGGGGTGTTCTCGTGTAAGCCACCTCCTTTCTCTGGGCCTCGGTTTCCCACCTATACGATGAAAGAGGTAGCTTTGGTACTCTGCCGGCACACCAACAGCTCTGAAGAAATTCTGTGACAGGCATAGCAATCCAGATACGTAGGGTGAAATTCAGTTCACGCAGAGATTCTATTATTACACACAGGAAACAATTAGGGAACGTTACAAGATGCGTGACATGCAGTATTAACTGTGCGAGAGGAGAAGTCTCTGCGTGGGAGCAGAGCCATGGAGACAACACATAAGGGCCTTTCATTCATTTGTTCGTTTTAGTAGGCCCTACTGTGTGCTGTACTGGGTGCCGGGGACACGATGGCGTACACAGCTTCGTCCCTGCTTTCAGGGAGCATGGTGCAGGGTGAGGCAGGCGTGTAAAAGCGAGCACAGCCCGGCGTGCTGCGGAGCTGTGCACACTGCTGTGGGGACAGGCAGGCGGGGCCCCCAAGCTTCCTGGATTTGGGAACGTGGTCAGCAGGGAAGACATAGTAGAGGAAGTGGTACCTGAGCTTGGAAGTACCCAAGACGAGTGCTGGCGGGGGCAGTGGGGTTGACAAGTCTTCCTGACAAAGAATGAGCACCCCACCTCGCACCGAGCACTCACCGGGGTGCAGGCACTGGTCCAGGCAGGGTTTATGCGCTGTCCAGGCAGGGTAAGGACTGTCGCTACTGTGTTGGAGGTGCCATGCTCACCTTCCGTGTTTTAAATATGAGGACGCCAAGGCTCAGAAGGGTTAGTCTGCCACGTGACACACAGGTAGGGGGAGCTGGGATTGGAGGCAGGTCTCTTGGTTCCGTGGAGCCTGCTCACCACCCAGACTTCACTGACGCCCAGGAATGAGAGCTGGAAGCCCAGTCCTACTAACCGGTTTCCCTCGGCACACAAGCACGAACAGGCGATGGCATTTCCCCATACTTAGCCTCGACTGGGTCTCCTGCTGCTGCCCGTGGTAGGGAACTTGCCTGAGACTGAATCGAACCCAATGTTCTCCCTAATTCATGGTGTGGTTCAAAGACGCATGGTCAAGCGATAAGGAAGCGGAGCCCTGGCCTCCCAGCTGACGGGGATGGTGTAGACTGCTGGCATCTTTCCTCAGCCCCTCATTCCAGGTGCCTCAGTGATCACAGAAGACCCACGTGGACGTCGTTGGCACAGCTGAGGTTCCGGTTTACGAACCGGACAGTTCGGATTCATCTAAGAACATGAAGGACGTTATCCAACCTTCTCCTGAGCTACGTTTTTGTCCAGCCACCAAACAATCAGCTTATGAAATTTTGCAAGTGTTTTAGATGCAGACTCACCTTTTGACAGTTTGAAAGCAAAAGAGCATATGGTTTCTATGAACTTCCTAGAACTGTATTTTCTACATGAGATATTTTTAAGTGTAATTGAATTTCATAAATATGACAACATTTGGTAACACTTGAGTGTATTTTTGTTCTATTGTTTATAGCAGCAAAATAATCTATTCCATATCTTTTTTCAGAAACTTCTAGAACTCAACAACCTTCATTCTCTCATGTCTGTGGTGTCGGCATTACAAAGTGCACCCATCTTCAGGCTGACAAAAACCTGGGCTGTAAGTTACCCTTCCTAAGTCTGTTCCTTTGACTTCGGCTGTCATTTCACTGGGGAAGTCCCTCATCCCTTGAGCCCCAGAAGGCTGTCTCTGACTGCCTGCCCTTGGCCAGCAACAGAGGATGACTGGGGGGAGTGACATGTTCCCCGGGCATCCTTCTCCTTCAGTGACCTCAGCCCCATTTGGGGACAGGGAAGTTGTGAGGACGCTGACGGGGACGGGGTTGGAAGCCCCTTAGAGTGGAACTTCCCGTACCCTGCAATGTCATGTGTGATGGTTGGGCCAGCGACATGACTTCTGGCCTCCACTTGGCTGGTATTCTTCGGGCTCCCAGCTGCCCTTCGCAGCTGCCGTGGGTTGTTGGCCATATAGCTAGAGTGTCTCTGGAGAAACCCGTGACCCTCA